AAAACCCAACCCCGATGGCAAACACCGGGGGGGGGGTGTTGGGGGGTATATTAATTGTTCTGCTAGCTGCGACGAGGGCGGTCGCCTTGCGCGCGAGGCAGTGTATACCGTTGAAAAAAACTGTTAGCGGGATCTTCTTGTGTCCGCGAAACCTAAGAGCCCTTCGATCACCTTCACAGGGCCCCTGGCTAGACATGTAAGGCACGCAGTTGGAGAGCCAAACGACCGATCAAGCTTTGAGACGGGGATTGCATATTCAGGCCTCTACGCACGACAGGCTTAGGATTAGCGGTAAGATCAAGGTCGGCTACAGGGGAAGGGGTAGGGATACCCTGAAATGCACCTACTGCAAGGACCTCTAGTTGCGCGCGAGGGCACGGGTGGGGGGAGACGCGCGGAGGCTTTACGGGGGTGTACCTCTTTGAGCAGGGTCGCTTTCCAGGCCCCAAGCTTGAGGGCAAGCGCGGCTTCCTCCTCGCTGTTGACGAGGCAAACGCTTTCGAGCCCCCGTGATGCCGCAAGCTGCAGCAGAATCTGTGCAGCATAGGTATGCAAGCATTATACGTGAAAGAAGCGATCGGTGAAATAAGCGACGATGTATCTTGACCAGTTCGCATGCCGTCGAAACCGCTGTCTATACGTTTGAGTGAAACGCGCAACACCACAACATGTCCAGCTACTATCGCAAGGCCTCGATCATAGATGCTGGAGCTGTTCAGCACCGGCAGCTCGCCGGGAGCCCCATGCATGTAGAAAGGGGAGTATTGCAGTTGCTCAGATCGAACGGCACTCCGATCTCTGGTGAAAGCTTTCAACATGAAAATTGGTCCAGGCGACGTGGACAGCTTCCGTGTTCACAGGAAAAATGGAAGACCGAATTTCAAGAGTCCCAGATGATCTGAACGGCGATGACAAACAAAAACAGAAACAGTTCGTGAATGCCGTGCGCATGCCGCTGCAGAATCTGCAACACCTACGGTGCTGGTGGCACTGCCGCATAGAACTCGCAAAGCGGTAGCTTGTGCTGGCGTAGAACTGTTGGCATATGTAATGACGCCGGTTGGTGATGCAGCCATCACACGATAGAAGCGTGCTTTTCGCCCGTAGGCGACGTGTGTCTCGTGCTTGATGCCTTACGCCTACTGCATCCAAGCACGCTACCCACCAAGCGCCATACCTGAAATCGCTCCAACACGATACGAGATGAGGGGTGTGCCTCACCTGTCAAGCGGATACATCTGTCAGTTTGAAGACCCACGATCTCGCTAAACACTGTAGCAACGACAGCACGGACCAACATCTTGCCTGCGCCACAGCGGAGGAAGCTCCGGTGAAAACTACTCGGTCCCCGGCCCCCAGCTCCTTTTCCACAAAATCGTCCAGGATTCGAATCGCCGTCGCCACCGAACCCGAGCAGTGAGCGGCCACCTCAACACCAACCCCTCCGCCATCGCTGCTCTCCTCCCCTAGCACCCCTGCCGCCGCTGCGCCGGATCCCCCAACTATCGGAACCTTCACGAGAGAAGCCTCGGTCAGTATTGCCCTTGACCTCCACGTCCCTGCTGCCTGTCTAGCACCGTTCCCGGAATCATTCCCCGCCATCACAGGCACCGCGAGGTCGCCCGGGCGGAGGGAGGAAACATCCCCCCCGACGGCAGTTATCTCCCAGAGGGCCTCGGTTCCGCCGATGGTGCGGGGGAACTCGAGCCCGCTGCTGCTGCCATGATGGCGATTCGGTGACGGCGGCGGCGGCTGCCGAGCCGCGGTTGTGCGGAGGTCCGCCAGTGTGCATGGGGCCGCGAGAAGCTTCACGGCGACTTGTCCCAGGCCTGGAGGAGCGGTGCAGCCGTCATCGTCGTCGCCGTCATCGACGCTGTTGTGTCGGAGGCCCAGGGGGTGGGGTGCGGGTTTACTTCGCGCTTGGAGGGTTCATCATGCTTTCCGCACACACGACGAGAAGGAACCGTGCGGCATAATTATGTGAATGCGCTGCACCCCGAGGAGCTTTGAGAGAGCGCCCTACTGGCTAGTGCGCATGATGATCGTGCTGCACGGCACCACTGCGAAGAGTATCTCATGTGGGGGCGTGGCGTCCCAGCGGCGGAGAGCATGACTAAACCTGCTGCAACGTTACGTAGACTAGACCGCCGGTGAAAACACTGCGACACCTACCGGCCGTGTTGCCTGGCCAGCAGCAGGACGGTCGGCAAAATCAAGCCTTACTAGGGAGAAAGAGCTCCGACTGGAGCCTGGTCACAACACGAGCCAGCGTGCTGGATGTTGTTGGGATACTGCTGTAGTTGCTTGCGACCGAGGTGAAACGAGCAGCTGCCAGACTGCTGTGCTTGGGCAAACATGACCCACCTGCAGCCTCCACCTTCGGTGAAACGCACTCTTGTACCCAGCCAGTGTCGCGGCTGGCCCAAGCGGAGATGAGGGATTCTTCGTATCAGTGCTGCGCTCTGGTGCATCGTGTGCAGTTCGAGAAAGGAGTTCGACACAGCGCTTTGCTCGAGAACAAGCCAAAACCTGAAAGCAGCGAAGGGCGAAAAGAGTCAGCGCGTGCGATGCGGAAGACACACACAACGGTGGGTAGTCTATGGGTTTCCTTGATGCAGATTGCGTCCCCCCCTCGCCAACTTGCAGTGCCACTCCCCCTCCCCAGAGCGGCATCTTCTTGTTTGCGATAACTCTTGCTTCAGCAGCATTGGCCAATCCCTCTCTACTCTTGCGAGAGATGAAACCCTCCAGGGCATGGCGATCCTCCATGTGCGCCGTGCTCGCAGTAGCGAGCTCTCTGCTGCCCCCCACCGCCGTCGGCTTTGTCTCCCCGAAAGTGAACATCGCAGTGAGCCACCGTCGTCGCACCGGAAGACGAAGCCCGCCGCCGCACATGATGCTTCCATCAGCGGAAACAGCAGCAGCAGCAGGGGCGGAACAGTTGTCGCAGGATGTGTTGCGTGCTGGTGAGCTTGTCGGTGGTGGTGCGGTGCCGCCGCCGTGGGCGGTCACGTTGGCGGACGACGTCGGCGGTGGCGGGCTGTTGGACATGGATCCGGCGAAGCTAGGGCTGTTTGCCCTGGGCGGGCTTGGCGTTGCCGCGGCCGGGTTCTCGACGGCAGTCTACTGGCGCATGCAGTACGTGGTGAGCGCGGTGGCTGCGTGCGGGCGCTTTACCTGCGTTTTGTCTTGGCGCTTGCGGGAAAAGAGACGAAGAAGCCAAAAGGGGAACATGTGTTGGTATGTACCGTATGTTGGTTGCATGTTGCACGGTGCTTGGACCACCATCTGCGGCGCCCGGTCCTGCGCATGTTCCGGATCCGCTGTAGCTCGAAGCACGTGTATCCCGCCCGGTGTGTTTCTGAGGCTGCTTCTCTTCGTTCCTGCTGGTCGGTGTGTGCGGACCATAAGTTGTTCGCTTTTGGCGTGTTGGTGATTTGTGCATTCCCGTTTAGCCGTGTAGGAGATAGACTACTACAATATAGTCTAGATGTCAACGTGTTGCGTGTGGCTTTCACACATGTTCCTGCTGTCCTGCTGTGTACCGCTTGGTACGTCAATGGTACGTCAAGGATGACACAAATCACCTACAAAGCGCCGTGGTTATTATTCTCCACCGAGAAAGGTGCATTGCAGCGTTCTAGGTCGACGAGAAAGAATCCCTGGTTCGGGATCGGCAGCAAACGTTGGATAATGAATGAACCGCACAACGAACGTCTGTGAATCCGCTAGAAGCGGAGGGTGAATCTTCTGCGGCGAAATGCCGACTCATATTTGAGCTAGGGAATGCAAGGGTCGGGTCGGTGCCAAACGATACTGTTAATTCGAGTGTGTTGGAGTATTGAAGGGCTATCATTGGGCCTATGGCGAAGCCCAGACGGTCCAGTTTAGGTGCTGCCACGGCCAGAACTCGGTCTATCCTGAGGTACAAAATAATCTGGCCACCGAGTCAACACAGCAGTAAGTCCAAACTACAACACGGGTCGCTACGCTGGTGGCAGCGGGCGACATGTACTGTGGAGGTCTTGCAGTATAATAGTATGTGGGTACCGTTGGTTGGGTTCTACATCACTCCCACAACATCCCTCTTCCCGCTTTCGGCCGAGGTAGAACTTTGTTGGCGGTCGGTGCTGCAGATCATGTGTAACATAGAAGGTAGGAAAATATGCTGAAGGTGGGTATCCTATGAAACGCCGCCGCTTTCGACAGACAACCTCCCCCCCGACGAGTGGTATGACGGGCGTGTGTATTATATGCGAAATATGCTTCAAAGCCAAACGTTCATAGAATTTGGGAGGGTACGGGTTGCGCGATTGTACGTGGGCGGCCCACGCCCCTGTTCTTCCAAGATCCCTTGTGGTAGTTTGTTCTTCACACCCTGATACACGTAGATGAGGTTGCCGTCGTGGTCCTGGTTTGTTAGCGGTTCCAATATCTCGTGGCACGGCTGCACCTCGGTAGTCAAGCTACTACCATTTAACTACCAATCCGGTTTAGCGGCGATGCCTTCTACAGCGGTTATTGCATTTTGTGACACCATTGACCGCTAAACCGGGACAACGACTGTACTCCTATCGCCCCCTCACCACCTCGGGTGGCACTGACCGCCCCTGCTTCGCGCTCGGACCACGAAACGAAACGAAAAACAGGTTGCGGCGCTGTTGACCAACCGGGTGCCGGCAATACAGGGAGGGGCGGAAGTGCTGGAGCTCAGCGCTAAGGACACCAAGACCCTATACTACATGCCCACGGGGGGCGTGCGGAGGCTAACGCTTTCCACGGTGAAGGATCTCGAGAACGTGCGTTTTTTATTTTATTTTTTGTGTAATATTTTAACGGCGCCCTTGATGGCGGGACTCATGTTGGGTGGAGAGTTTATTTGGGGTATGTGTTTTTTCTGTCAGCCGATTGTTATTGTTGCTGTTGATGGCGGCCGACATCCGTTTCTTTTGCTTGAAGGCTGCGGATGAGACGTCCTGAAGAAAAGCCCGGTCATGTGTCCATGACGAGGTAATCGCGACACCTAAGATACCAAAGAAGGCAACATTGACTTACGGTCGTCACCAACGCCGTTCCCCTACTGTTCGCGGTTCTCCATTCTCTAGCGGAGAAGGGCTCCGATAGGGGGTATTGGCCACACAGAACCTCTTGATGGACACTATCTTGCTCGTTCTGGCATGCGTGTGGTGATCGTGTATTGTTGCCTCCGTCCCCCTCGTTTACTGCCAACTCGCCTTCTGCCGCTCCTAATTTTGCTCGGACCCGCGTTCAGACGAACATGGGTTTGCTACGCTTCCCTGCCTGGCTCTCTGCGGCTTGCTAGCCTTGAACTTTGTGTTCCACAATCCTTTAGTTCCAACGAAAGCACAATTTTTTTCTCTCTCTATCCTTGTCGCTTGTTGAAATGTTCAGGTGGGCGAGGAGCTGCGATTCCCGTCCAGAATGCAAAGCCTCGACCGCCAGCACGTGATTCCTGACGCAACTCCTGGTACCATGTGATGCTCGCAAGCACGAGGCTGCCCCCGGACCCCACGGTCATCACGTGCTGGCGGTCGAGGCTTTGCATTCTGGACGGGAATCGCAGCTCCTCGCCCGCCTGAACATTTCATGCGTGTGGCCGCCTACTCGCATCGCAACCACGCGCGGCGGCAAAGTCATCCCTTCCCGTCCCGACGAAAATGTGTCATGGGACGGCATCACGCGATGGGCGCGCAGATGAGATAGTAACCCCGCGCGGCTGCCCACGCCAAGTACATGCCTCACAACAGTGAATGATCTCTTCTTTTATTGCTGCACGCTCACATGCCCATATACTTCGTTGTCAATCCTGCATCCTGCTCTGTCGGCCCTCTCCTCTCCGTGGCCGTGCTTATTTCGTGGTGTTGTCGCGGTCGCGTGGTTCGTAGGAGATCGTCAACGGCGCGGCCATCCAGGCGAAGATCCCCATGGCCCTCGTCCGGAAGCAGGAGGGGACCAAGATCAGCTGCACGTCTGGCACGATGGACTGCGTAGTCTCCGTCTACGGCTTCTCCGGCGGCGTCGCTGCCGCGGCGGCGTCCAACAAAGGTAGATGTCAGCCTAGGGTTCTTGCGACGTTGGTCGCCTAAGTCCTCATCAATGTGTGGATTGCAAGTGGTAGCTATGGGAAATGCCATTGCCCGGCACGGTCATGGTGAAATCATGTCATGGATGGAGAATCCAAGTTGTCTAGTTCTCTAGATAACGCCACGCGCCCGGTATTCATGGTGCCGGTGAGTCTGGCGGGTTCATGCCGGCATTGCCCCGCGGTAGCAAGCGGGTGTATGATGTCGGAAGGAGGCTGACGAGAACCTCATTGCTGACAATTGGAGCCGGTCTTTGTCTCCGTTGAGAATCGATCGTCAAATCGCGTCCCCACGGAGAGGGGTATGTACTGTGGGACCCCCCGCCCATAGGCCGACCCTCGAGAAACTTTGCCGCGTGAGTTTGCACCGAAGAAAGCAGTAGTAAGGCAGCAACAACAGGTGCAACAGCTATTGCGAGAGGTTTGGCGAGAGGAGACGGAGACGGCGTGGGTTCTGTGTGTGTGGGTGCCTTCATGAACACCAGGATGAGCAACGACACCACCACCACATTCACGATGATGTAATCCCGTCACGAAAAACAAAGCGATGAAAGCATGTATGCGCAGGAGTAACAGACCGGGCTGCATTTCTACCTTCCGATCCAGCGCGGTTTTGCAATCCTTTGCTTGCCGTGAGACCGAGGCACAACCCAGAAGTGAGCGAAATCTACCCCCCCCGTTTTGTCCGGGGTAGGCAGCTGTACCCGGTACCGATTCTGGGTGTAGTCAATGGCGGTCGATGCCACTGGCCGGATACGGTGACCCCGTTCCAATTCCCTTTGTTGGAAACCCCGACGCGCCTTCGCCCGGGTTTCGAAAGATGCGTGCGTCCTAGAACCATCTACAGCTGTACAGCCACCGTGCCATTCATGGCATGTCGTACACCGTCACGCAACTCTATTGGCCAACCATTTTAGCGGTCGTTGCTGTTTTCAGAAACACAACACATGTACGTACGTTTTTTACAATCTCTTCTAGTCAGATAGTTAGCGCGGTCGATGCTATTTTCTGGAACACACTCATTTACGTTTCCTCGGGAATTTTCGCAGGTGCGACCGCTGCCCCCGCGGGTACCCTCAAGGGCCTGGTGTCGGAGGTGGCTCGCGTGCTCAAGCCTGGCGGGACTGTGCTGTTCGTGGAGAAGGGGGAGTCACAAGAGTTGGTGAGGTTAGACGTGTGTGCAAAGCGCGTTGTCTGTTCAAAGGGAGAACAACCAGCTACATTTGGTGTTTTATGTTTGTCCGGCGGCCGTTGCATGGTGGAGGCGAAGGAATACGTCGAGTCTGCCCCCCCCCCCCCCCCCC